TGTAAACCATTTAATAAGGTTCTAATATTTTCAGAATTATCAGACCATCTTCCTGTAAAATGTTCAATTATGTTAATTAACAAAGTATAAACAGCATTAGAAACAGGTTGATCATCTATTATTTTAGTAGCATTAATAATATTAAATTGATCTTTTTCAGATAAATAATTATCCCACCAGCCTTTAAGTTGACCAGTAAAACCTGCTATCAGCATATGAGCTATATTAATATCATTATTTCCTRCATTCTTAGCAATTGTACTATACATAACCATTCTATGTGTCATATTATAAATTTGTCTTTCCGTAAGACCATCAATATTCCATTCATAAATGCTCTTACCATGATAATTAGTATTAGATAATTCTTCATGCAAAACGTCCTGAGGAGTTGGTCTAGGATAATAATATCTACCCATTTGAGGTTTAGTTGCATATTGAATTTTATTGATTCGAAGATTCATATCTTCTGAATCAGATATTTGAATAGATTCTTTATCAGAAGATTCTTTATTTAAGGTATTAATATTTAATTTGGAAATTTTTGATTCAATATTRGTTAARACTTCTTCTAATTTAGATGTATCTTTTAATTTATAATCTTTTATTTCATGTGGAGGTTGAATTGTAGCCATAATTTTATCTTGTTTAGATATTGTTTCTATTTGTTTTTTCTTAGCAAGTATTTCATTTATCTTATCTATCTTTTCATGTAAAGATTGTATTTTTTCCCCTAATATTATTGAGTATATACCTTGACAATTTTGTTGTTGAATCAATTTATTTATATGATCAACAGTGATAGAAATATGAGGACTTTCAATTAGTTTTTGATAGGCTGAAAAATGAATTGTTTGATTTTCTTTCGTAATAGCAAAGGATTGTTGTGGAGGGAAAACAGATTTTTGTATATTTCCATTAGCAAGAGTATATTCTCTTTCAATAGTATTTAAATAATTTTGAAGATAAGTGTAACAAAACCATAGAACAAAATATATAATTTTGTTAAGATGATTTGCTTGATTATAAAATTCATTTTGAAAAGATGTTAGCTCATCTTTTGAAAAGGTTTCAAAAAACCATTCTCTAAATGGYTTCCATTTTTCTTGATTAAATTCTTGACTGATATGCAGTCTTGCCATAGATCCTTTAGAAAAATCAATTATATTATCCATCACATAAATCATACTATCCATTAAAATTCAAAATTTATTTCTGAGGCAGYRGTATCCTCATCTGTTTGAACAATATTATTGTTAAATTTTAAATGCTCTATTTTTCTATTAATTTGAGAAGTTGAAGCTCTTGCTGGAGTTTTTTCAAYTGGATATTCTATAGGTGATATGAAAGACCTAGTAGAAGTAGATCTAGATAAAGATTTTTCAATTAATGTTTCAGAATTCTTTTCAAATTCAATTTCAATATTACCATCTGGTGTTTGTATTATATTAGTTATTTTATTAGTAGTTTKTGGTTTTGGAGGAATTGTGTCTTCTAAAACCCATTGTTTAGGAAATTCAATTTCATCCCATTTTATAGCCCTTCTAGTTGTAATTTTAGAAGTATCTAAATTACTTTCTATTAAAATTGTTTCATTATTCATCTTTTGYCATCTCTTACATCTAGGATTCATTGTAACTAATGGWCTATAATATATTCTATAACATACACCTATTAATTCAGATCYTGTTGTATAATTATAACCATGTKTTTTAACATTCAAAGTTAAAGCATCTAATATATTAACATCGGATAACGATAATTGTAAATTAGGATAAACATTAAAATATACTGGACCATGTGCCAGACTAGATTGTATAATACCCATTAGTGATTGTTTCCAATTTYTATTTCGAGCATCTCTTAATACAGCTAAAAATGATTCTGGTAAACCTTGTAAAGTTAAAGGTTTAAAAGCAATTTGAACTAATCCTATATGAAGGTAATTAAATTTTTCTTGATATCTAATAATATCTGCTTGATTTAATAATTTAATAGTCATTTCATTTTCATTCACAGTAAGATTTTCTTCAGTAGTTTTAACTGACTGAATAAAACCTAATTCTTCAAAAGTACCTAATTCATATAAAATTTTAGGTTGTATCTTTGGAATTGTCCATTTATTTAAGAGATCTAAATTCTTTGGAAATTCATATTCTTCAATTAAGCTATTTTTAACATTATTTTTAGTTTTCTTATGGAAAACTTGAAACAAATTCATGTTTATACAGAGTGTTAAACAATCTTCAGAATTCAAAGAACAAATATACATGGCTCTGATACCATATTGAGGTGTATACACACACTCCTTCTGGTTAAACCACATATTAATCGAGTCATGGGGTTTTCAAATCAAACAATAATCTCTAAACGGGATGATACTAGTCCGAGTCAATGACTTAATGGCCTTAATACGCCTTCACATGGCTAACAACGGCCTAATGCACGACTTATGGACATTGATCATTATGTTTTCAGATTATGAAGATTATCCCAGACTTTGATTAACTCATGATTTAACCAGTATAGTAGCCAGGACTATATATATTTGTCTTCTTCATCTAAAGATTGTTTAACAGAGATTTAGCCTGTCATTTAGGCTAAATTTCTCTTAAATATTACAAAGAAAGTTTTTACAAGTAGGAGGAAGTGAAGAGGAACTGGTAATATGTCCCTATTTGTTAATATGTTTGTTATATATATGAAAAGTTGTTTTCATAAAGGTTTTGGTGATTTCACCCTGCAATATCATAAATAGCGTAATTCAAGAGACCTTTCGGTCTAACCCTCATTTTGTGATTTTAAATATGTATTGCATAAGGCACAGATGGTAAGGGAAAAGGGAAAATGTGATATTTTCCTATATGCATATCTACATGAAGATTTGCCTATGATGTATAGTTTTGATTAATGAACGATGATTACTGCATTTAATGTTCCTTTTGTTTATATAGAAAAGATATTAACTCATATATTTGATTTAAAATCTGGATATTGGCAAATTCAAATAAATGAATCTGATCGTTATAAAACTGCATTTAATGTTCCTTTTGGTCAATATGAATGGAATGTTATGCCATTTGGGCTTAAAAATGCTCCTTCTGAATTTCAAAAAATTATGAATGATATCTTTTATCCTTTTAGTAATTTTATTATTGTTTATATAGATGATATTTTAATCTTTTCAAAAGATATTGAAACCCATTTTAAACATTTATATTTGTTTGAGAAAATTATTATAAAAAATGGTCTAGTTATATCTAAACCAAAAATGTTATTATTTCAAACTAAGATTAGATTCCTTGGTCATAACATTGGACAAGGAAATATTATTCCTATTCAAAGAAGTATAGATTTTTCTAATAAATTTCCTGATGAAATTACTGATAAAAATCAATTACAAAGATTTTTGGGTAGTGTCAATTATGTGGCACCATTCTATAAAGATTTGTATAAAGAAACTACAATTTTATATGAAAGATTAAAAAATAATCCTAAACCATGGACTGAACAACATACATACTAAAGCTGTTCAAATAATTAAAGAAAAAATAAAATCTTTACCTTGTTTATCTTTAGCAAATCCTAATTGGGATAAAATTATTGAAACTGATGCATCTGATTTGGGTTATGGTGGTATATTAAGACAAACCCATCCTGAATCAGGTAAGATATATATTATTAGATTCTGTTCAGGAAAATGGAATAATTCTCAGAAAAATTATTCTACAACTGCTAAAGAAATTTTAGCAATTGTTAAATGTGTTTTAAAATTTCAAGATGATTTATATAATCAGCAGTTTACAATTATTACTGATTGTCAATCTGCAAAATATATGTTTACTAAAGATTTTAAACATGATGTTTCAAAACAAATGTTTGCTAGATGGCAAGCTCATTTAGCACCATTTGATTTTAATATTATTTATAGAAAAGGGACAGATAATAGTCTTCCTGATTTTCTTACTCGTAAATATTTGCAGAATGATTCCTCATAATACATGAAGAGTTCTCTCCCCTACTAATAGTAGAGGAAGAGGTCGTGGTCGTGGTCGTGGATTTATAATCCAACAAGGCAATAGACAGCTTATAGCTTCTTCAAATATTCCTCAACCTGAAGATCCCCTTTATAAGGAATTTCAGGAATTTTTCAAAACAAAAAAGGGTAATACCCCTATTTATGCTCAAGCCATACAAGAGAATGAATCAAATGATGATTCTGAATATCTTTATAATAACTCGGAGGAGGTTAAAATAAAAAATTATATTAAATTGAAATTTATGTTATTGCTTTTAATATTAATTGTAAGTTTGTAACCAGTATTTTTTGTATAATGGTTAACGGATTACAATGTTATCCCATTATACATTTATTGGTTCATATATATGTTTTTGGATGTTGTGCCATGAGAGAGGGTCCAGACTCCAAAAAGTGGTGTGCTCAAAACGGACGATCCGAAGAAGACACCTCTCTCCTCTCTCTCTCTCTCTCTCTCTCTCTCTCTCGAAACTTCGTGTTTAGGTTGATGAATTCTTCACCGCTTTCTTTTTCTCTCTCTCAAGCATAACTGGAAATGGTATTATGTTAGTAAAGAACGAATCCCTCTTTCTTGGTAGTCTTTTTCAACTAAATTATAACTGACGATCTTTAAGCTGAATTCCCTTGATGGGTATTTTTCTTTAGACTCCTCAATCAGGTAATGTCTTTTTTGTTTGCTGTACAAATGAATTGCGTCGGGTTTTTTTATATCATTTTGAAGTCAATTTGTGGATTTGATCAGGTAAAATTTGCAGAAGAGAAAGAATCCCCTTTTGAGTCTAGTGTTCAGTCAGTGAGGCGATCGATATCATGGCTGTTGTTGAGAATGGTGGGTCGAATAATCATGTGGAACCAAACGATGTTGATCAGTCAAAATCATCGATTTCGAAGTCGAGGTCGAGTGATCAGCATCAGAGTTCTGATCAGCAGAAGAAGATGACGACACCTAATGGGAATGGTGGTCTGTTATATGGTAACAGTGTCTCAAACAATCATCAGCATCAGATGGCGATGAATGGTGTTGATCAGGAGGAAGAGGGTTTTAAAAAGGAAATGAGGGATTTGGCCGAAATGCTGTCAAAATTGAATCCCATGGCTGCAGAATTTGTTCCCCCTTCGCTTTCCAACAACCAAACGAGGTCCTTTCTAGTACCACCATCTCCTGCTGCTCACTTTGGTTATGCCGCCATCAACAATTTCCTACTTCAAACTAACAACACCGCCTTCACAAATGCCAATTCCAATGGAAATTCTGCTAGACGGGTATGCTCGATACCATCATCCCTATTTTGATTTTTGCTTTGACTATTTCATATTTCTGGGCTTCTGATGATTCTTATTATGGAATAGATGGGGTTATTAGCAAAAATAACAAAGGTTGTTTTTGTGTATATTAGCAAGAAAGAACAGAATACAAGTATTGGGTTGTTGGGTTTTTTTGTGTTTCTGGTGTTGATTGTTCTGGGGATTTTAATGGTTATCGCTAGAAGAAGAGCAACTTCAATCATGGGAAGCGGAGGATGAATAGCCGAACTAGCATGGCACAACGTGAAGATGTCATTAAGAGAACGGTCTATGTGTCTGACATTGATCATCAGGTAAATAAGCTATAAATACTTGGTGTCTGATATCATTCTAGCTTGGTTTGCTGTTTGTAATAATTTTCTGTTTCATTCTTTATTTGCTCATCTGGGTTGGTCTGATTTAGGTAACTGAAGAGCAACTTGCAGCCCTTTTTATTAATTGTGGACAGGTAAAGATATATATTGATGTCTTTGTTTTTGTTGGGACTGCTATTGCTTGTAACTAATTGTCTAACCTTGCCTTCTTAATATCAATAGGTTGTGGATTGCCGTGTGTGTGGTGACCCTAATTCCGTTCTTCGATTTGCCTTTATAGAGTTCACCGATGAGGGTATGCTAATATAAATTTCCATACTTTCAGTAAGCGTTCTCTATTTACTTACATAGCATGGTCCATAATGTTGTTGCAGAAGGTGCAAGGAACGCATTGAGTCTGGGTGGAACTATGCTCGGATACTACCCAGTTCGGGTGCTGCCTTCAAAAACTGCAATTGCACCAGTGAATCCAACTTTTTTGCCCCGGGTAAGATTCTTTCATCAGGGTTCGTGACTTGTGAAGCTAGAATAAATATTTATATGCAATTCTGCTTATACCAGCATTAATTTTATTTGTTTTTAGTCTGAAGATGAAAGGGAAATGTGTGCAAGAACCATCTATTGTACTAACATCGATAAGAAGGTAATAGAGAACTTTTCTTTTGTTGTAAATGCATTTGATAAACGCTAGCAGATGCATGATCTATTTTATTTGAAGCAGGTCACTCAGGCAGATGTGAAGCTCTTCTTTGAATCACTTTGTGGCGAGGTTCGTGATTTTCCATATGACATCTGCAAAAGCTGTTGTCTTGAATTGTTGTTAACTATGTATTGTGGATTTTTTTCATTTCGAAGGTCTACCGCTTAAGGTTGCTTGGAGATTATCATCACTCAACTCGTATTGCATTTGTGGAGTTCGTGATGGTAATTTTCTAAGATTTTAAGCAGATTTATTGCTTTGAATATCTGCATTCGATTTTTTTATTAGATTAATATAAAGGGGGCTTGCTACAGTTTCTTTTCTATTGCTAATAAATTTTGCTTTGATTACCTAGTGATCGGGTTTCTAATGAAACATGCTACAGTTTCTTTTCTATTGTTAGTTTACTTGGATATATCTGGTTTATAGTGAGATTATTGATCATACCCACTTCATTTAACACTTTACATGGCTTCATCTTTCCTTCTCGGGTAGAACAATAATGCATTTAGTTCAAAAACTTAAGTCAATTAGATTTTCTCATATATATAGACTTCTAGTGTGAAATGGAGTTCAATAGAAACTAATTTCAGGCCCATGCTTACATGGACTTCAGACTACAAATTATACCCCAAACATTACTCACATGTTAAATGCACACTTCAAAATTCGAGGTTGAATTTTTTTGAATGGAGGGAAGAATAATGAGGGTCATAACATTGAAGCATCGTGATTGTGAATGTTTTTCATTTTCCAGTAACTTTTAGGGTGATTGTTAAGTATTTCTCTCTCTTATTCGTTCTTGTTATTGTTATCCATCTTTATTGTTAGTCTTAATATACATGGTTGGATGATTGAATAAAAACAGTTTTGAGAGTTTTCTTTGGTTGTATGAACTTTATATGAAGATGGTGATGGGGCTGATACATTATGTGCTTTTAACCTAACAAGGCTGAAGAGACTAGCTAGCTCTCCTAGAGGTGCATAGCCAATCACCATAATGAATAAGCTGGAGTGGATCACCTTCAAGTGAGATACTGAAGTGATCTTAGTGTATCTTTGATGTGAATCCTAGCCCCATATACTTTTCTTAATGTTTATTCATCACTATTGAGGACGAGAGTTATTCGAGAGGTAGTATTCTCGGTATTAGGACAATTAGGAGAATTCCATATGATATGCCCTTATCTCATGAATAAATAGCATTGTATCTTGTCTGTGCATGACATCACCCTTGGAAAACAATAATTGAAGACCTGCCTCATATCAGCCGAACAAGGGACACAAGGTTGTACCCTGGCAAAGTAGCTGACATAAGCTAGAGTCTAATAATAACATAACCAGAATTATCGTTTATTAAATCATATAAAAAACATAAAAATAAAACAAATATAATCATAAACCAAATTGTTGATACTAGTTATCAAATCAAATAAAAATATAAATATTGTTACTGAATTCTTGCACATGTATTCAGGTTACCAAACCATAATATGCAAGCATTAAGTACCAAAAATAGGAGTTCATATACATTTATAGACCGGTCATTGGTCTATATAATCCAATAAGCACCAAAAATATTTAGACGGGCCATTGGTCCAACATAAACCTGACCCATAAATAGAAACAAAAAATGTTTACTCCAAGCAATAATGGCCACCGGCCCATTGTGTTGTTACCAAAGCAAACCATCACCCAATTTTCTCGTCTTCCTTCCTTCAAGGTCCAAAAATAGTTATCATGGATTTGGGCTCACATGTTATCTTTTGCAATGCAGTTAACATTTTTGTTTTGGAAAATGATTCAAATTTCTCAAGTTCATCAACGATCATGGAAGTTCTTTTTGAGTTTTCCACTTCAACTTCCATGCTTTCATAAGTTTATCCCCAAATGTAAATATCACGTTACTGATTATCCCGTGCAAAGGATCAATTCTATCTTTTCTTTTCTTAGTACTACTTGTACAATCTCGACTTCGCACATTTGTTTGTGCATAAGAGACATCATCTTGCACATCAGAAACTAAGCGGTTGATGTGGTCGATTGTGGTGGTAAAACAATAAAAAATTTAGGTTCACAAAAAAATACGAAAATCTATATATAAGAAAACTTAATATATTGTGTGCCCAATACATATCAAGTAATATAAATCAAACTACAAAAGCATTCAAGCAAAATAGTAATAGAGTCGAAGCTTAGAATGAATGTTTTGGTGCAATTGTCGTGTAGGCTGGAGCCAATTGACCTGGTACAATCGAAGCTTTGAAGAAAATGGGAGTTTGATAAGGGATGAGAGGGCATGGAGCCTTAGGGACGATTTAAATTACGTCAACTAAAAGAGTAGTTGCTTTAAGCCTTATGTTAGGCCAACTAAAGCTAAAACAAGCCTAATAAATATTAAAACAAAGCCCGTAGAATAGTTAAAAAAGCCTAAATCCCCAAACACTAAAACGACTCTGAAAAATTGCATTTTAGCCGAGTGCTATTTAGGGACAATCGCGGTGATTAGTGCCATTAAATGTGGCACCGCTTTAAACCATCGCTATTTTAGCCGTTGTTCCTCTGACGACTGCAATCCTCTATTGCACTGGGATTAACTGCATACATCAGAAAGGTTCTCCTCATTGCTTGTATATCTCCATATCCATAACATCTCTCATCTATTCCTCTAAAGGTCAATCCTTCCCAAGAAAGAATGCACAAATCCTCAAAATGAGGAAATGTTGTGTTCTTTCATTTAGCTACCTCTTTGTGAACCTATTACATATCATAGTCATAACATTCAATTACAAAGCAACAAAATAAAATTACAATTTTAGAACATAACAAACTAGTATGTACCTGCACTTAAGACTCAGACCGGTGGTTTAGCAGTCATACTATTTTTCGCCATCAAAACCAAACCAACTAGTATTAGTACCTTTCAACATGTCATAAACAACCTGCTAATCTTTTTTTATAGTCTTTATCCTTGACTCCATATTGATTTACCTATTATACAAAAACTGGGTAGTGATTCTTTAAGGTTGTTCCATATTATAAATACCCATATTTGAATCTATTTGTTAGCTTCAAATCCTCCGTTATTTACCATATTCACTGAACTCTCAACAAGTTTAGCATCTTCAAGTGCAAACCAATCTCAATAGTTTTTTCCATGGCTCGTCATACCTATGATAACACAAACATAAAACATTCAAATGTGCAACAAGAATACAATCTTCAAAACGTGCAAACAAATACAACCATAAATTCATTACAAAATCAACAATTCAATAGTCACATAACTTCATTACAAATGCAACACAAATTTGATGGATTCCCATCAATTTGTGGCAGTCCAATCAAACATATTTTGAGCTAAACTATCTCTAAATGCAATCCACATGTTTGATGTCCCAACAGAAGTAATACTATCATCTCTAGATCCGACATCCCATTCACATTCATTCTCAATTGGATCAATTGACATTTCTTGCCTAATAAAATTATGGAGAAGAAAATATGCCGTTATGATCATATTTTTGAGGTCAACCACATAATATGAGTTATCTCTTAATACACCAAACATTGCCTTCAAAATGCAAAACATCAATCTATTACATTTCTTGCAGAAGAATGTTTCATGTTGAAAAATTCTTTTTACGTTGTTGGTTGGTTTCTCTCACGCCAATCATTTAAATGATACCTATGACCTCGATATGGGGCGGGGAAACCCTCCTTCTTTGTGTATCCAACATCCACCTAAGTAGTAACCTGACTTGGCACCTTCAATCTATGTGTTGTAAGAAACTCATCTCGAAGAACTCTACCATATGCATCTTAACCCTCCCATCCACGTAACACACAGATTTGTAGCATATCCTGTAAACACACTTAATAGGTTTGTGGCAGTATCATCTTTGCTCGTTCTATATCTAGGTCCGTCTTCAAGTGACATTAAACACTTTGTATATGTTCCATCTAGAGCTCCTAAACAATTCTAGAACCAAGAAAAAACAAATGGTTTGCTACTTGAATTCTTGGATTTGGAATGGTTTTAGGAGCTTAGATAACATAATGAAGTGTTTAGTGCCACCTAAACACAAAGATAGATACAAAATGAGAAAAGGTGATATTGCCACAAATGTATTATATGTGTGTTCACAAGATACAATGTATCTTTGTATGTTACCCGGATGAGAGGGTTCAACCACTAATGATAAGAGTTCTTGAAGATGCACTTCTTAGGCCACATGGATTGAAGGTGCCAGTGCCAGGTTATTACTGCATGGATGCAAATGCGGAGGGTTTCCCCTTCCCATATAGAGGTCAAAAGTATCATTTAAATAATGATTGGAGTGAGAGCCAACAACTACAAAATAATTTTTCAATATTAAACATTCTTTTGCAAGAATTGCTATAGAAAGATATTTTTGTAATTTTGAAGGCAAGATTTGGTATATTGAGAGATAACTTGTATTATCTGGTTGACCTTCAAAATAAGATCATAATGGCATGTTGTCTTCTCCATAATTATTAGGCAAGAAATACAAGTTGATCCATTTGAGAATGAATATGAGTCGGATGTTCGAATGGGAGATGATGATATTATCACTTATGTTGAGACATCAAACATGTGGACTGCATTTATAGATAATTTAGCTCAAAATATGTTTGAATCTTAGAGTGCTAAAAATTGATGTGAATCTATCAAAATTTTGTAATGAATCTATTGAAGTGATGATTTTGTAACAAATTTATGGTTGTACTAGTTTCCTTGCTTTAATGGTTGTATTTTGTTGTGCTTGTTTATGTTTGTATTATCATCGATATGAGGAGCCATAGAAGAAACTATTAGGTTTGGTTTACACTCGAAGATGCTAAACTTGTCGAGAGTTTGGTGAATATGACAAATAACGGAGGATTTAAAGATGACAATGGATCACAATCCGAGTATTTACAACATTATGGTATATTGGCTAAAGCCTATACTAAATCAAGGATAAAGACAATGAAAAAATATTGGCAGGTTGTTTATAACATGTTGCATGGTACTAAGACTACTAGTGGGTTTGGTTTTGACAGAAAAAAATATTGTATGATTGTTGAACCACCTCGTGCAGGTGCATACTAGTTTATTATGTTCTAGAATTGTAATTATATTTTGTTGGCTTGTAATTAAATATTATGATTTTACATATAATAGGTTCATAAAGAGGCAGCAGAAATGGATGAACAAGACATTTCCTCATTTAGAGGATCTGTACATTGTTTTTTGGTAAGGATAGAGTGAGAGATGTTATGGAGATGGAAGAAGGTATAAACCAATTTGAGGATAATGTTTCTGATGCGCACGATTATGCCTCTAATGCACAAAAAAAGTGCAAATCCAAGAATGTATAAGTGATACCAAGAAAAGAAAAGGCATAGTTGATACTTTGCAAGAGGTAATCAATAATGCGACATTTATGCTTGGGATAAACTTATGAGAGCATCTGTAATTGTGGTGGAAGTTGAAGCGGTAAGTTCAAAAAGAACTTCCATGATCGTTGATGAACTTGAGAAATTTGAAACATTTTCTGAAACAAAAGTGTTTACTGCATTGTGAAAGATAACACGTGAGCCCGAATCTATGATAACTTTTTGGAGCTTGAAGGAAGAGATGCGAGAAAATTGGGTGTCTGGTTCATGTTGGATCAGTGATGGTTTTGCTTCGAGAACGACAACCGGTTGGTTGTTATTATTGGTTAGATAACACATTTTTTACATATTTTTGGTCCAGTTTATGTTGGACCAGTTACCGGTCTATAATTTTCTTTTGGTACTTATTGGTTTATGTTAGACCACTCACCGGTCCGTAAATGTCTATGAACTCCTATTTTTGGTACTTATTGCTTGTATGTTATGGTTTGGTAACCTCAATACAAGTGTAATAATGGTTTATTAACAAATTTTATGTTTGTATCAAAGGTTTGTTTTATTATTATATTTGTTATTACGCGTTTTTATGTTTATATGTGATTCAATAAATTGTAATTTGCATATTGTTTTCACATTAAGTGTTAATTTTATTATTATCAATGATTTAAGAAAAACAACTCAAAGAAAGGGTATTGTTATTGTCTCCCTCAAATTAGGCAAACAAAGAAGTGAATCCATTGAGTTGTTATGCTTTCATGTCTACAACTTGATCCATCCGATGACTAATTTACTATCCCAAATGAACCCCACTTCGGAATATGAACCATTAAAAAATGTCTACTAAACCAATTACAAGAATACCAGCTAAAATACCTATTGTCTAGAGTATTTGCCATGCCCCTTATGCCTTCGGCGACACACGTGCTACAGTGGCCGGGACAAAGGGTCATGATCCCGCGTCCGAATTGCAGGCTGCAACTCCTGCATGAAGCCGAAATCACTAGTAATCGCCAGTCAGCCATACGGCGGTGATCCATTCCTTTGCGGTGTACACGCCCGTCACACGGTGGGAGCTAGCCACGCCCGAAGTCATGACTTTTTCACTATTTCATTCCAATTTCTCTGTAAACCATACAAAAAGATTCCAATTAATTTGACAAATTACATCCCACTTCCTGCCAATTAAACACTTGGTCAAACCTTATAACATTCCATTCCAATTCCTTCCAAATTCCAATTTCGTTGACAGAGTCTATTCCTTCTAAAAACTTGCTCCAAACCAAACGCCCTCTAGGGTTTTATGGGGGTAGTTTTTTCATTTTAAAAAATTGGTTGGACTGGAATTCAATTCCTTCCCCTCTATGATGGAATGATGAAATCCATGGTTGGTGAAATGAATGGAATTCAGTTCCATTACATGGGAAGAGTAATCGCCATAATGGAATTTGGTTAACGGAATTGACCCTTTCAATTCCTCCAGATTTCGTCAGAATCGTGTGAACCAAACGGGGCATAAGGAATGGACTAAGGAGAAGGTGTGTCATCACCATAATCATGCATGGTAGGAGTATAAAGCATTGGAGTGGTTTCCCTGGGAACCCTCTATTCTCCATGAAACACCTGTGCCAACTTAAGGATCGGAGTGTTTTCCTAGGGAACCCCCTATTCTCCGAGTTTCTGAAAGTGAAATTTATTCGGAGTTTAACCCTTAAAGGTGTGATAGGCCTGAGGATGTGGATAACATGAGAAAGTCAAACTATCTGATACAAGAACCTTCAAACTGGACTTCTTTTTTGTGACTGGTTTGTGGCAACCTTGGCCTCAACTTGTCCAAGAGGGATCATGCAAAGCATTCCTTTCTATATGAACATAGCAAATTTTAGGTCTTTCAACCAGTGAGTGTGACCGTCAAAGGGGCTCATTGCCTGGCAGGGAATCAAATCTAAGACATGCCACACACAAGGCCCCAAGGTATTGACCACTATGCCTTTCCATTGGGACCACATGAGTTACTAGCAAATGTAAGAAGATAAATCAATCCAGACTATTATAATGCAAACCTTCCGTGAGATTACTTGTGAGCTAATCCAGACTATTATAATGCAAACCTTCCGTGAGATTACTTGTGGTTTTGGCTCAATCCCGAAATCAATCCTTGTAACAGAAAAAAACTGAAATAAATGTAAAGCTAGCCCTCAATATAATCCATGTAATTTTAAACCATATTAACATATTCTTTAATTAGGTCAGAATGAATTACGGAAATAAATAATTAGCTATATGTAAGGAAATAATACACTTTGAAAACCATATCTGCAGGCCCAAAAACAAAAATATTCTATAAAGCATGTAACTATTACAGTCATGCCTATGAATTGACCAATGGAAATAAAAAAAACTAAAACTAAAAACTACAAAGGTAACATGGCTTTGGGTTTATTGCATCCTGGAAGAGTAACCTATGGGTTTGGCATATCTTCCTCCCCTGAGTCATGAGATGATGGTTTAATATGACATTGCTTGTCAATATCAATCTGGAATGAATGATTAAAGTGGAGACATTCAAGCTCGCTCACTCTAATGGCGTACCTTTTGCATCATGGGTCAGCGAGGAAATGGGAACAGCGGCTTAAGCCATAAGATGTAGGCGCTTTCCAGAGGTGGAATCTTCTAGTTCATCCTATCATAGTGTACACTGTGGAGGCTATTGAAAAGGTTTAGAAGAGTCATCTTCTCAATAACATGTTTTTGTGGTGCAAAAAGAGACCTAGGTATTTGCTGGCCTCCTGAAAACTCGCCCAACAATAGCAGAAACTTTAAATACACGAACCTAACTGCTATAGTGTAAGCCTATGCAGAACCATTGAAAGATTGTACACATGCAAGATCATGCTCAACTTTTAGAGATTTATGGTTGGATGGATAGGCATAGTGTGAGACTTTTGTCTACGCTTTTTCCAATGCAAGGCTACTCTTGAGGCTTCTACGTTTTTGTTACAAATCAAATTAAGGCAAGTGATTATGCTTCTGTTCGAGCATAATGCTCTGTCTTTGGAGAAATCTTAATACCAAATTCTATAAAATTGCATCCATGTTGAATGTAGATCATATCTTTGCATTGTTCTTATTTTTCATCCAGTTGTCTTTTTGTTTTCCCAAGCCCCTTTTTCCATCCATTTACATCAAAAAAGATCAGTGGTTATTCGCATCAACCATTCCACTGTATTTGTGAGGGCCTCATTGAGTATCTTCATCATAAAGGCCAGGAAGATACGTAAAGGACAGTTTCCTGCTTGTAGGTCGGGGATGGCATCTACCTCTTGGTTGTCTTACGATGTGTATGCTTATATTTTCTACAAAGATCGTAGTCACCTCATGATTTTGTAGAGCAGCTCAGATATATGATATCAGATGTCTTGATATTCTTGTTGAGTTTGATCCCATGCCACAAGTCCGAGCTCCTTTTGCACCATTTGTACCGTCGTAGGTCAGAGTAAGAGTATTATGAGGTGGAAGCGTAGAACAAGGCCCACTAAAGGATGGTTGGCTCTGAAGCAGACCCTCTTCATTTGGTCTGAGTAAGGATGGTTGGTTCGACACGACATTTGTTGGGGATTGCATTTTCCTCCCTGGTAAATATCTATGAAGCTTTAGCTGTAAAGTAGGTGCAGACATCTTCCATGTGGGATTTGCATTTATTTTATTTGTTCATTACGTATAGATTGGAAGACGTCTTTTATTCCATTCGATTTTATCATAGTGATCACAATTATGGTACCGAAGGGTTTTGGCCGTAGATAGGAGTGTGTCAAAGGATGCTGTAAATGTCCGGGAGCCCTATGGATTACAATTTTAGCCTACCCCAATTAGTCTGGAATAATGCTTCCTGATGTAAATCCCGACTCTTGGTATCAGACAGCAGCAGCAACGGCTGTCAATGAATATATGATTTCAACATGCTTCCTTTGGCATAAATGTGCCTGTTTTAACGAGTACTTAGCTGGAGTAATAGCTTGGTAATTTATTATTCTTTGTTTATGTTGTATTGCCATACATAACATAGTTTCACAAGTTATATAGATATCCTGGCATCTCATTCTTATCGAATTTCACTTTTGGCCATACCCAACTACCAACTGGTTTGAAATGTAGTTTCTTCACAAAATTTGTAAGATGTAAGATTAGAGCTTATGAATCTTGGTTACATCCAATTTTCCCCTTATCTTGTGAATGTTGTTTTTCTATATCAATTTTCTAGAGGTTATAGATATGATTCTTCTTTACCTTGATATGTTGTATAGGCTGAACCACTTTATTTTGTATAGATAGGTATTAATTTTATATTGTTGAGTTCTTTATTACTTCTTTTGGGTTGGTTATGAAGTTTTACTATATTTGTTCCTTTCAAATGCAGTATCTATCACCAATCCTGATCACATGCCACCTCATATGAATATAAATAAAATCTCCTTAACCGGGCCTAATCTTTTCATTTTAGCATGACCCATAAAAAGGGTCTGGTCATGGTTCAATGTTACGTTGATTAATTTCTTATTTTGGCATATGATCCACATGCCAAAAAACAAATACAAAGTGTTGTAATCTGGATGTTGAATCTTACAGGCTGAGAGTGCAATTGCAGCTCTGAACTGTAGCGGTGTAGTATTGGGATCATTGCCAATAAGGTACTGGTTGTCGTTTCCTTACTTTTTATATGTTCTCAATATACCTGTTTATTCTTATTTTTCTCGTGCTACGTTCACCATATGCTTTATTCCCGCTACATGTTTGCTCACACTAGAGCAAAAAAAGGGAGTCTTTACAGAAACAACTATTCTACTCTTTGGGATAGAGGTTTGGTTTGCATACACAGGGGTGGACTTCCTCCAAGGGTAGGGGGTGTACATGCTACTGCTCAATCGTCTCGTTGCGATTGAAAAAAAAATTGCGGAAATGAAGGTGTACCCGCTTAATTTTTATAGGTGCCCTGAAATGTTTTAAAACCAAACATATAATAGACATCGGAAATGGGTGAGATGGTCTAAATCGCCAGCTTAACGCTTACCCTTCGAGAGGACGAGTTCGACTCCCTTTTTAGCGAATATATCCAGTCTTTCAATTTCGGTTTCTAATAATTTTGTGAAAAGAATGAAGAACAGCATGGGAAAAAGTCACCCCATTATCTCTAGCGAAGGATAGCAACAAACCAACTAATATCATGAAAATTCTCTATAGATTTCACCCTTATGGTCTAATGGTGAAATAATTTCTGGGTTCGCCTCTGTGGGTACTCTCGTACCCCTAGACCCTACTTTCAAGTAGGATTTTCTGTGTTCTTTTGGTTTGGTTTGGGTTGGGTTGGGTTGTTAACATAGTTATGGTCTTTGTTGATGCAGGGTGAGCCCTTCAAAGACCCCGGTTCGTCCACGTGCACCTCGACCTGTGGTGCACTGAACGGCCTGTGGTGCATTATTATAGACTTATCCACGGCCCGTAGCCATATCTGAACATACATATGTAGGTAAACAGGAACGGCTTTATGGTACTATGTTGTTATTTATGTTTCTGGTTTCTGTCCGAATTCAGATACATCCACGGATTTGTGTTTAAATGTTAAGAGTTTGGGCGAAGTTTGAGGCTTAACTTGGTTTAGATCATGACCATGTTATCACGTTGAGGTGTTTACGTTTATCTTACGGATTGTATATGATATAGACAGACGTTTTTCAACTGGTAAAACCTTGAGTTTGCTCTTCATAAGTCACTAGATTAAATCCTCTGAAGACGATATGAGGATTTGCGTGATTGTTAACTTAGTATCGAATGGGATTAGTGTCCGACAGACATGGTTACCATTGTTTTCTTTTGAGGAATGATTTATATTATTATCATAATAATTAAAGTCTGAATCTGCTGCAAGGATTTAAGTATGTCCCGTAGATCTTTTATGTTTAAATCTGAACCATCCGTTTTTGAAATAAATTCGTCAATTTAGATTACACATAGGGGTGAAGCCGAGTGGAGTGAGCTCGGGTCGAAAAGTAATGCTATGCTAGAGTTCGAATAATTTTTTCAAAGTAGGGTTCGAGCACGAGCCTGATGCTCGTTAAGGGCTGAATACTTGATCGATTAACTTGTTTGTTGGTTTAAGTTTGATCATATTTATATTTTTACTATGTGATTTATGAACATATGACCAACTTTGGCTTGAGAAAGTGTATGGTCGAATAGTTTGACTCGACTAGAGCCGGAAATTCTAATCGAATTATTGAATGAGTCGAGTGGACCATTGTTGTTATGAAGCTTGGTTGGTTGATCTTAACGAGTGTTATTTTATGTTTGAGATCGACTGAGTCCGAAAATTATTAAGGATACTCAGAATCGTTGGAAAGCTTCGTGTTGAAATTAAAATTTCTTTGAAGTTCTTCCAAAAGCTTTATTAAATTCTGTATCTGATGCAACCAAGGTCTGCAAATAAAATAGGTTGCTGAGCAAATGAAATAAAAACAAAAGAAAATTGATTTAAACGTGATTAATTTCATTAAGTCGTAGTCATTAAACATGATTACTTTTCCCGTACGACAAATATGAAAGTTCGATTGATTTGATGACTAAAAGTTTATACACAATCTATATCTATATTAAAGAAGAAACCACGTGCAATGACGTGACCTTTTTTCAAAGCTAAAAAATGTTTTATCCTTTCTCTTCTTTTCTCAAGTTTTTCTCACCTCAATATTTATTTTCGATTTTTGAGATTTACTAATTACTTCAACATACTCATGTTTCCTCTAATAATTGATCTTTAACTCTCATTAATTCTTAATTCTTTTCGGTTATAATTTTTCATCTTCTCTTCATGGTATACCTCTATGATAATCTATCTATTAATCTCTCAATTCTTCATTTCTATTCAGTTATAATTTTGTAGAGGCGATTTGTATTTTTGTTGATTTGAGGTGTCATCCAATAAGACAAATCATGGTATGGGTTTTTGCTTGTGTAAGTATAGTATTTCGTCTTTTAATTGAAGACATATATATATATATATATATATATATATATATTAAAGAAGAAACCACGTGCAATGACGTTGCCTCTTCTCAAAGCTAGAAAATGCTTTATCATTTCTCTCTTTTTCTCAAATTCTTCTCACCTCAATATTTATTTTTGATTTTTGATATTCACCAACTACTTCAACTTACTCATGTTCCCTCTAATAATTGATCTTTTAACTCACATTATTTCTTTCTTTTTGGTTATAATTTTTCAACTTCTCTTCATGATATACCTCTATGATAATCTATCTATTAATCTCTCAATTATTCCTCTCTATTCAGTTATAATTTTCTGGAGGCGATTTGTATTTTTGTTGATTTGAGGCGTCATCCAATAAGACAAACCATGGTATGGGTTTTTGCTTATGTAAGTATAGTATTTCGTCTTTTAATCGTTGACATTCACACTAAAACTGAAATTAGGTAGGCATATGAATATTTTTTGTGTAGATAAAGTGGCATATGAATTATTGATAAAATAAGGTAACATTGTTTAAGCATAACAATCTCTCTTAATCTCTCAATTCTTCCTCTATGTAGTTTTTGTGGAGGTGATTTGCATTTTTGTTGATTTGAGGCGTCATTCAAGAAGACATATATGATATGGGTTTTTATTGATGTAAGTATAATACTTCGTCTTTTAATTGGAAACATTCACACTAAAATTGGAATTATACAAGCATATGAATCCTTTTTTTGTGTGGATAAAATGACATATGAATCATTGATGAAATAAGATAACATTTTTTAAGCATATGTAGAACATAAAAATAAGTATTTTTTTGTTTGTTTATCCATGAACTTGAATAACATTATGCTAGAATATATTTGCATCGATGCTAGAAGAGTGTATCAAGAAAGATGATTTATGATTTTTTTAAGATCCGTAATCTTTCATATGGTTTTTAAGACATCGATGTTGATCGGTCTATTGCGAATTTTTCTTTCTTTAGCATTGAACTTGAAAATTATTTTCTAATATTTTTACTTCTTAAAGGAGAAACCAAACATAATAAGGTGTCATCCTCTAAACATTAGAAACCTCTCATTCTTTTTTCTTAGATTTTTTATTTTTTAAAATATTTGATATATATGTAAAATACTTTCCCGTCCCTATATTTAAAACATGAAATTCATTAGGATAAGGTTTTTTGGTAATTTTAAAAAGTTTAACCTATAACCTTTTCATCTTCATTATTGGAGTTGAAACCTCCAAACCATTTCATATGCTCCTCTATGATTTGTCCATCAATAAATATATTTTTCTTCTTCTCTATCATTTGAAGTATTCTTTATTTTACAAACTATTATTATTCAACAAAATCCTTTTTCAGGTAAACTTTTTTCACTCTCTCCATCACTTGATTTCTTCTTTACATATATATATATATATATATATATATAATATTATTTAGAAAACAGTATATTTATTAAATGATTGATCATACAAGTTTCAATTATTTTTGTTTTGTACGCCTTACATATTGACTTTTACTATTTTCAAGTAAAATAAAATATGT